CAGGAACATCACTGCCCCCCCCCAGTTGAAAATGCATTTAAAGAACAGAAAGAATAGGGTCATGCCCAAACTGGGAGCAGCAATCCCTGGGAACTTGGGCCACAGAAGAAGTCTCACATGCTTCCCCTTTTCTAGACCCCCTCAGGCCCAAGACCAAAAAACAGCAGCGTTAAATTTTCTCGGAATGTTGAAGGAAACTATTCCCTTCATTTTTAACAAATAAGGAAAGGCTGTTCCTTTTTTCATTTTGTTCCAAACAAAAGTGCTATACTGCCACCACTTACGCCTTTAACGTCTCTTGTAACGTGAATTGGGGTGGGACCGGATCGGCCAGCTCATCCAAAGCTATTTTGATGGTCTACCTACAGATGCATTTCTGCTTGAAACTGGTAGCTTCTAAACAGGATTTGTCAATCAGAAGTGCCTGGGAAAGGAGCTGTTTTCTCACCCAGCTCTGAGAAGAACAAGCAGGCGTTCTTGCAAATGGGGAGACTGGCTGGTTAACCTCACAGGCTGGTATCAAGACTGTCCATTCTCTCAGAGCTCGAGGATGGGACCAGCCTTCTGGGTCATGGGCAGTGTTCCCTCTAAGCTGAGTTAGTGTGAGCTAGCTCACAGTTTTTTAGCCTCCAGCTCACAGTTTTTTGTCTGAGCTCAGGAAGGATGGCTCCAGAGCAAACTAATTTATGCAGTAGCCAAATTGCTTGCTCACAACTTTAAGGTCAGGAGCTCACAAAGTAGAATTTTTGCTCCACAGCTTAGAGGGAACATTGGTCATGGGGATTGGGCTTCTAGGCTGCAGCAGGGAGCCAGGGCACATCATCTCTTGCTCCTTTAGAACCTATAGCATTGCCCATATATTGGTAGAGATTGGGCAGGGCGGGTCAACTCTCTATGGAACCAGTCCAAGCGGCGCAAGCAAAGAATACATCCAACATGTCAGCTTAAGTTTTCAAGGTACATTTCAGTCACTCTCAGGGCACACAATTGGAGAATGAACCAGAGACAGGGAGGCACACAGATGACCATCAACATTTAATACCACGCTTGAAACTAAACAAGCAAGCACTCTCGCGCTTTTTTTTCTTCACATTGTTTCATCTGGTAGCCAGAAAAACTTGCCCATGTTTTTCATTTGAGGTACTGGTTTGTCAAACAGAATGTGAGATCTGTCCACCAAGTCACCATTTACAATGTCTGGCCAAAGGCCTAGCTGGCTTTCAGCGCAGCCTGGATACCAAAAAGCGGGGGGCGGGTTACATTTTCATTTTCCTTGAAATAGGACATTTCCATCAGACTGGCACAGGTGCATTGCTGAAGAACTTCGAGAACAGAATCAGCTAGAAGGTGGGCCTCGTTTTCTTTTCTTGTAGAATAATTCAGTAGGACTGATAAGATTTGCCTGTCTGATAAAGAAAGATTCCTTTACTGTGATCAGAACTTGCAGTTCTTTGTAACTGCTTCAGTTGTCGGGGAATTTAAAAAAAACCCTGATAAAACAGCTGATTGCCCTGTGCAGTTATTAGGCTTACCATTTAATTACTCTTTTAATATATATATATTCACTCGTTCTCACTGTATAGATTCACTTCTTTCACACAGAAGCCCCACAGTTTGCATTTTGAAATTTCAGATTTACAGGGAAATTATTTGACGACTGCTCCGCCGCCCCCCCGGCCAAGAGGGGAAAGTCACACGGTTGTGGAACGAACTCAGGATACTTCGATGATCTCCATGCTGCCTGAGAAACTAGACTGGCTGCCTACTTTCCCCAGCTCCTCTCGGGACCTGTTCTCGGACCTGATGCTCTCCCCAAATTCCATCTGGCAGCTCCTCCGCTTGAACTGCTTCTCGAAAGAGCTCTCCTCGTGCCAGCTGCGCCGCGAGTCCCCCCGAGCACCGTGCTTTTCCCGCCTGCGTACCGCGTAGGCCTGCTCGCAGCCCGTGGGCAGCTGGCTGCAGCTGTAGGCGGAGTAGGCCGCGCTTCCGCCGTACAAAGTGGAGGCAGAATAGAAGCGAGAGGGGTCTGTGGCAAAGTACCAGCTGTTGGTGAGGGACGCCGCCGAGGCCTGAGGGGCCAAAATGTCCGAATGCCAGTCCTTCAGCCCCAGCCCCGTGGCAGACTTGGCCAGATGCTGCTGGCTGGTGGAGAGGCCAAAGAGGAAGTTTGTTCGGTAGTTGTCCTCCATGCTGCCGCTCCGATGCAGCGGGTACGACCTCTGGCTGGTGCCAGTGGTTCCCCCTAAGTGCTGCCGTTTGCTTGGACCGTCGGGGGGCCAGGCCTTCTGGGGGTTCTTGGGAATCTTAGCTTCCTCTATATCCGGGCTGCTCTCCGGCGTCTGTTCGGAAACCTCCTGGACGGGGGAGAACTGGCATAACTTGGTGCTGCTTTCCAAGGCCGCTGAATGCTTGTAATATTCTAACGTGTCCTCCAAAGAAGAATATCCCTGTCCTGAAGCCAGAAGGCAGTTACTGTTTGCCACGCACGAGACAGATTTGATGTCCAAGGAAAAGGACCGCTTCAGCCTGTTACTGTCTTCCACTTTGTCGGAGGACACACGGAGTCCGATGATGCCCTGAACCAGCGGGCTGTCTTCCAGAGATGCCAAAGGTGGGCCTGCTAGGCCGAGCGAGTCCACTGGGTTCTGTTCCACAGTCTCCGAGGTAGAGGCAGCAGCGCACAGCTGCGGGGAGGTGAGGAGGCTGCTGCTGTGCCCGCCATCCGAACTCGGTACCTGCTCATTGCTTTTCTCCAAATGCAGAAGTTTACGCTTGCTGAAGGGCCCCGTTTGGCCGGTCTGCTTCTTGATCTTCTTTTCAAAGTCCAGAAGCTGGCCAAGGAAGTTGAAGTTAGGAGAAATGGTTGGCCTCTTCTCTTTCACAAATCTAAACAGGTTTTAGAAGAAGAAGAAGAAGAGTTGGTTTTCATACCCTGCTTTTCCCTACCCTAAGGAGTCTCAAAATGGCTTACAATCACCTTTCCTTTCCTCTCCCCACAACAGGTACCTTGAGAGGCAGGTGGGGCTAAAAGAGTTCTGAGAGAATGGTGACTGGCCCAAGGTCACCCAACTGGCTTCATGTGGAGGAGGAGTTGGAGAATCAAACCCGGTTCTCCAGATTAGAGTCCACCACTCTTAATCATTATACTGGCTCTCAATATTTTAGACAATACAATGCTGGCTTATTAAAACCTGTGTCCTGCGCATAGAAGTACATTGTGGCAAGCCAAGCCCCACCCGAGGCCCCAGGAAGTTCACCAGCAAACCCGAGAATGATCCGCAGGGCTCTCTGCATGCTGATTAGATGAAGGGGGGCAAGATGGCCACAGCTCTGCAGCTTAAGCAGATTTACCCTTAGCAGGCCAAGGGCCACCTCCTTCCCTTTCTCCCTCTTGCCTAGAGCTTCCTTCCAGAGCCAGTCCATGGTACCATCTCTCCTCCCCACCCCACTCCAAACCCCAATGAAGGCAGTTACCTAACCCCCCCAAAGTTCTTCCTTGGCAAACTGCCTTTGCACATACCTTTCTGCTGCTCCAGACTAACGCGGCTACCCATCTTTTTCTATAGCGTTATTGTTTTGGACAATTTCTTCAGCAGCTTCCTTTCCAGTTTTACACAGGCTTTTGCTAACTGTGGGGATGGACAACGTAATGCCGCAGAGCACTGAATGTTATTCAGAAACGAACACTGAGAGCTGGCTTCAAACATTCTGACAGTGGCCTAGGTGGAATCAATGGCTTCCGTACATCTGGGGTTCCTGGTGGCTACTGTGATAGTACTTCTGAAGTGCTCTGAACCCCAAGAGTAGCACAATATGCTTTTCTTATATCAAGCAGTTATCTCCCACGTGTTCTATGCAGAACAAAGTTTGAGTCCGGGGGGACCTTTAAGACCAACAAACTCTTGTTCTGGGTATAAGCTTCTGTATGCATGCACACTTCTTCAGATACATTGTGTGCATGCACACGAACACTTATATCCAGAATAAAACTTTGAGAGCCAGTTTGGTGTAGTGGTCAAGTGCGCGGACTCTAATCTGGGAGAACCAAATTTAATTTCCCACTCCTCCACTTGCAGCTGCTGGATGACCTTGGGCAAGCCATAGTTCTGTCAGAGCTGTTCTTGAAAGAACAGTTTCTGTCAGAGCTCTCTCAGCCCCACCTACCTCACAGGGTGTTTGTTGTGGGGAAGGGAACGGAAAGGAGTTTGTAAGCTGCTCTGAGACTCCTTTGGGTAGTGAAGGGTGGGGTATAAATCCAATCTCTTCTTCTTCTTGGTCTTAAAGGTGCCACTGGACTCAAACTTGGTTCTGCTGCTTCAGACCAACATGGCTACCCCCCTGAATCTATCTGAGTTTTATGCAATAAGGCAAATGAGCTCAGTGTGTGGGGATGCCTGGGGACCTTCTCCATAGATCTCTGGGTCCAGCAGCAGGCTGGTAGCTACAGTGGGGCTATTTGGGGCTCTGCCCCCTTTCTTAAAGGGACAGCCTCACGAGATTTTCCCTTGAAAACCCTTTATTCCTTAGGTGTGCCGAACTGCTTAGAGATCCAGGTTGGAGCCTCTGCAGCAGGAAGGAGGCTTGCTGGTAGGGTTACTAGCTCCAGGTTGGGAAATACCTGGAGATTTGGGGGGTTGAGTCTGAGGAGGCCAATGTTTAGGGAGGGAAGGGGAGGGGCTTCAATGGGGTCATATTTGCTTAAGGCATAAAAAAAAAAGATTTTCCTATTTGTTGAGAATTTCACCCCCACCCGGGGAAAAAATTGCCCTGCAAACCACAAAATCCTGGCTAGGGGCCTGGCCAGCAGTGACCTTGGGTGTCTACCACATACATGGTTCAACCAGCACAGGAAGCCATTTTGACTATCACAGTAGCCACCAGGAACCCCAGATGTACGGAAGCCATTGATTCCACCTAGGCCACTGTTTGAAGCCAGATCTCAGTGTTTGTTTCTTCCAGGAAAAGGCCCCATTTCTTACCTGTAGGCCTCATCTAAGGACATATCCATTCTCTTCATTATGTATGCTATTGCAATGGTGGCAGAGCGGGATATTCCAGCTAGACAGTGTACCAGAACACGACCATTCGAGGCTTTGGCTTTTTCTGTGGGAGAAGGGAGGAGGGGGGAAACCACAACCAACAATTAAGTTAATGCTGCTCTTAAAGTCACCAAGAACGAGAAACCTTCTATCTAGGCTCCAAGGATCCTCAACCGGGGAAAAAACCCAATGAAAGCAATTTTGGAATCTCCCTTGTTGCACGTATCAAAGAGGGATGGAATTATTGTTACAGTATGTAGCTGTTTTCATTTATTTAAAACGACCACACCCCAGCCCTTCATAGGCTCCTGGCAGCTGGAATAATAACCGCAAGACTTCAAAACGAAAATGCCAAACATCCCTAAGTATGTATCATAAAACTAAACATGAACTGAATGATAATCCTTGGATCTGTCACCGTTATTTTATTCCCCTTTCTGGAAATGAAAAATGGAACTACAAATGTGAAGTCCCACGCTGTGGCACCAGCTGTTTGCAAACTGTCTTCTTGTCCACAAGATGGACTCTTCTCCTCCTGCTCTGTCTCTAGACCAAGCTTTCCAACACTAAATATAACCAGCAGAGACATCCCTATATGCACGGGGACCAACAGTAGCAATTCTGACCCAGCCGGATTGGGATGAGTGGGACAGTAACAGTGACAAGTCATCAGGTCTGTAGAGCCAGTCTGGTGTAGTGGTTAGAGTGTTAGATCTGGGTTCAAATTTATGTGTCACCATGAAGCTCACGGGGTGATCTGACATGAAGCTTATCTCTCTCAGCCAGTCTGGGTTGTTGAGAGAGCCAGTTTGGTGTAGTGGTTAAGTGTGCGGACTCTAATCTGGGAGAACCGGGTTTAATTCCCCACTCCTCCACTTGCACCTGCTGGATGACCTTGGGCAAGCCGTAGTTCTGATAAGAGCTGTTCCTGAAAAAGAGTTTCTGTCAGAGCTCTCTCAGCCCCACCTGCCTCACAGGGTGTCTGTTGTGGGGAGGGGAAGGGAAAGGAGTTTGTAAACCGCTCTGAGACTCCTTTGGGTAGTGAAGGGCGGGGTATAAATCCAATCTCTTCTTCTAAAACGGACACCCGCACATGCTACCCTGAGCTCCCTGAGAAAAGGGCAGGCTAAAAGTGAACTAGGTAGACTGCACAGACTGGTACCTGTGATGTCCCGCGTGGGGATGACCTAGGACAAAAGGACCACCCTACCGTGTACCCTCCTTCCTTCTCCACATTATCCTCAAATTATTAACGCAAAAACAAGTCCTCAAAAGTCACCAGATCACAAAACAAATTTGCTAGCTCACTTGCCCACATCATTACTAAAGGGGGGAAACTCTCTTTCAGTCTAGCTGGCTAAAACTTCCCTGCCTGCAGCCAATTCTTACTGGCCAGAGGCAAGCAAGCTACTGGCTGTTTAAAAAGCTCAAGTGCTGAATAATCTTGTGGTTGAATGGGGAAAGTCATAAACATGTGCAATCCTAAACACAGTAACACTTTTTTTTAAAGCCCATCAAAGGCAGTGGGTTTAGAAAGGTGTAGCTCAATTTAGGATTGCACTGTAAAAGAAGCCTTTGTGGGGATGAGTGTTTGTCTGCACAACATTTTTATGTTTCACAAGAAAATGCCAGACAGGAGAGGGATAAAAGAGCCACACGCTGTGACTTCCTTTTGCTTAGACAAAGTACGGATTATTACAGAAAAGGATTGCAACTGATTTTCCATACTGAGAGAGACTCAACAAGCCGCTCAGTTTCCAGGAGCTGGCACACAACATTTTTGTCACAATTCTGCAAAATTCTGGGAAAAAATGTCCCTGTGAAAATTACCAGTAGGGGGAATTTTCCCTTTTTGTTTTTAAAACTCGCCATGTTTTTTTTCATGAGAATTCTTTCAGAGTGCTCATGCCTTTGTAGAAACAGGTTTAGTAGAATTAAATTCTTTGGTACTTTTTTTTTTTTTAAAGAGAGAGATTGTGTTCTCTGAAAGCTTTTACCTATGAAGTCCACAGATGTGTCCAACCACGGAAAAATCTTCTCACAAAAGCTGTCATTCACAGGGACTCTTAAGAAGTGAGAGTCTGGGATGCAATCCGGCTTGGGGCAAGTGTTGCTGGCGTTCAGCACGTAGCCAATGTCATTTTGCTTCATCAGTTCCTGCAAGATGTCACCAGCACAACCACAATCAGCATGTGCAAATTAATGTCTGAAAGAGATGGCTAAAACATACTTATGATGAGGGAGAAGCCAGAACTATTTCCTGGTCTGACACTGCTGAAAATATTGGTGACCAAATATCACCCCACTTTCCCAACACATTCACCTAGCCTACTGCTTCTGCACACACTACTGGGCTCTGCTTTGGATCAGGGCAGGTTTTCCTTTTTTAGCATCCACATGATGTTGTCCCCTGATAATCTACTTCATGCATTTCCCCCCTGTATTACTCCAATCTTTCCCAAAATTGGTTTGGTATCATCTTTTTTGGACACTTCATAGTCAAAGCATGTTTGTATGCCATGTGGACAGGAAGGTAGTTTCCCCCCCCCCCCATGTCCTACCCCCATGTTGGCACTGTTTTCCTGGCTTAATTCCCCCCAAGTTGTCTATCTATTAGCTCCTCTGAATACCCAGCTTTAGTTTTTTGAAAAGCAAGTCTCCTTTTTGCTGTGGAGATATGCCTTTCCTCTTATATCTTCCCAATAAAAAGGGCTAAACTTACATCTAGAAAACGAAAGCTGGGAATCCACAGAACATAATGGATAGATCACTATGTTATAGCCTGTGAACTGCCATTTTTTTAAAAAAAGACCTCATGTGCCATGGGAGGGAATACCCAGGGGGATGGCAAGGAAGGTGTGGGGTAAACTGCCAAGTGGATGCTATTGCCACTGCAAAGACCTCTTCTTTTGCATTGGCAGTTAAAGCCACACAGTGAATCACTGCTCACTGAAAGAAGCACAAGTCAGTTACATCACCCTCTCTGGCCTAAATTTCCACTGATTTCACCTGATCACTGATCAGGTCCATTTAACTTTAAAAGGGGTAAATTCTCTGATATGAGGGGACATGTGGGGAGGAAACTGAAAGGAAAAGTAGAAAGGGTCAAAACCATTGGGGAAGCTTGGAAACTATTTAAAACTACGATCCTAGAAGCTCAAAAAAATATATTCCGCAGGTTAGGAAAGGCACAAACAGGTATAGGAAAAAGCCTGCATGGTTAACAAACAAAGTAAGGGAAGCTGTAAAAGGTAAAAAGGATTCCTTTAAGCAGTGGAAAGCTAGTCACAGTGAGGCTGATAAAATGGAACACAGGCTATGGCAAATAAAATGCAAGTCTGTGGTCAGGCAGGCAAAAAGGGAATATGAGGAGCATATAGCAAAAAACGTAAAAACCAACAATAAAACTTTCTTCAAATACATTAGAAACAGGAAACCAGCCAGGGAGGCAGTGGGGCCCTTGGACGACCAAGGGGTAAAAGGAGTATTGAAGGATGATAGGGAAATGGCTGAGAAGCTAAATGCATTTTTTGCCTCCGTCTTCACTGTGGAAGATGAGAAGTGCTTGCCCACTCCAGAACCACTGATTTCAGGAGGGGTGTTGGAAGACCTGAGTCAGATTGAGGTGATGAGAGAGGAGGTCCTAAAACTGATAGACAACTTAAAAACTGAAAAATCACCAGGCCCAGATGGCATACATCCGAGAGTTCTGAAAGAACTCAAATGTGAACTTGTAGATCTCCTGACAAAGATATGTAATCTTTCCTTAAAATCTGCCTCCATTCCTGAGGATTGGAAGGTAGCTAATGTCACTCCCATCTTTAAAAAGGGTTCCAGAGGAGATCCGGGAAATTACAGGCCAGTCAGTCTGACGTCGATACCGGGTAAATTGGTGGAAACCATTATTAAGGAAAGAATTAGTAGGCACATAGATGAACAAAACCTATTGAGGCAGACTCAGCACGGTTTCTGTAAGGGAAGATCTTGTCTCACTAACCTGTTAGTGTTCTTTGAGGGGGTGAACAAACATGTGGACAAGGGGGATCCAATAGATATTATTTACCTTGACTTCCAGAAAGCTTTTGATAAAGTTCCTCATCAAAGGCTCCTAAGTAAGCTCAAAAATCATGGGATAGAAGGACAAGTCCTTTTATGGATCAAAAACTGGCTAGTTCATAGAAAACAGAGAGTGAGTGTAGGTGGGCAATTTTCTCAGTGGAGGGTGGTAAGCAGTGGGGTACCGCAGGGATCAGTACTTGGTCCACTGCTTTTTAACTTGTTCATTAATGATTTGGAGATGGGAGTAAGCAGTGAAGTGGCTAAATTTGCGGATGATACAAAGTTGTTCGGGGTGGTGAAAACCAGTGAGGATTGTGAGGCACTCCAAGGGGATCTGTCAAGGATGGGCGAGTGGGCGTCAACATGGCAAATGGGGTTCAATGTGGCCAAGTGCAAGGTGATGCACATTGGAGCCAAAAATCCTAAATATAAATACACATTGATGGGGTCTGAACTGGCAGAGACTGATCAAGAGAGAGATCTTGGAGTTGTAGTGGATAACTCACTGAAAATGTTGAGACAGTGTGTGACTGCAATAAAGAAGGCCAATGCTATGCTGGGGATTATTAGGAAGGGTGTTGTAAACAGATCAGCCAATATCATAATGCCCCTATATAAATCAATGGTGCGACCTCATTTGGAATACTGTGTGCAGTTCTGGTCACCACACCTTAAAAAGGATATTATAGCTTTGGAAAAAGTGCAGAAAAGGGCAACTCGAATGATAAAAGGGTTGGAACACTTTCTCTATGAGGAAAGGTTAAAGCGCTTAGGGCTCTTTAGCTTGGAGAAAAGACGACTGAGGGGTGACATGATCGAGGTTTACAAGATTATGCATGGAAAAGAACAGGTAGAGAAAGACGTACTTTTCTCCCTTTCTCACAATACAAGAACTCATGGGCACTCCATGAAATTGCTGAGCGGTCGGGTTAGAACGGATAAAAGGAAGTACTTCTTCACCCAAAGTGTGATTCACACATGGAAATCACTGCCACAGGAGGTGGTGGCGGCTACAAGCATGGACGGCTTCAAAAGGGAATTAGATAGGCATATGGAGCAGAGGTCCATCAGTGGCTATTAGCCACAAGGTATAGATAGGGGCTCTGGGGCAAGTGATGCTCTGTCTTCTTGGTGCTTGGGGGGGCCAACAGTGGGAGGGCTTCTCATGTCCTGGCCCCACTGTTGGACCTCCTGATGGCACCTGGTATTTTTGGCCACTGTGTGACAGAGTGTTGGACTAGATGGGCCTTTGGCCTGATCCAACATTGGCGCCTCTTATGTTCTTATACCCCTCTGATTGGTTATGTAGCTGTGTGACACTATACCATTCCCAACACAGGTTAAAGGCTAGTTCATGCAAAGACTTTCACACATCTTCAATTATCCTTTGTTGTGCAGTTGGAGAGCAATGAAAAACAGAGAGATGTCACTTCTGGTAACCAACATAACCTTTCATTTTTTGAGAATATGACAGTAACCGACAAAAACAAACAAAAAAGCTCACAGATTGTTTCTCTCCCTCTAAGTCCATGTCAAACCCATTAAGGTAAAATGATGGTGACAACATGTCATTATGAACATGTAGAAGACAGTTTTGCAGATTCTGCACCCTGAATTTCACACATCTTGGTCTTGGTCATACAGCATGACCAAATGTATATCTTTCACTTAATACGGATTATGTATGATTTAAGAGTTGGGCTTGGCTGTGACGTTACACACAGGGCCAAAATATCCCTACTCCTGAGCCTTTTTTGAGAGGAACCTTAAACTAGCATGAACATAACAGACCCCGAACGTCAGTGATGATTGAATTCACCGATTTTGAGTTATCAGTATACAAACACATCATTTTACTTATTTAGATTTACTGGGGGAAAAGAAGTTGTGTCCTGGATTTTTGGACTCCATTACTATTATGCCCTGACCTGGATAGTCCAGGATAGTCTGATCTCATTATATCTAGGAAGCTAAGCAGGGTCAGCCCTGGCCAGTATTTGGATGGGAGACCTCCCAAGGAATACCAGGGTTGTGAGATAGAGGCAGGCAATGGCAAGCCACCTCTTGCCATTGAAAACCCCACCAGGGGTCGGCATAAGTCAGCAGTGACTTGACAGCACTTTCCACCCCCACTATTATTACACATTCCCCTACTCGTGATACCACCGTCACGACACTTCAAAATTCACCACTCTTCCATTTCACCTTGTTGAGGACATCCCTCTGACACCCAAGGTAAAGATGAGGCAGAATCCTGGTTGGGCCTGTGGTGGAGACGGGTAAGCAGGGCTGAGAAATGCAGGAAGGCACCAGAATGGACTTTTCTTCACAGAGGCCAGGGAAACGACTTGAGAAGTCAGCAAATCCACCTGAAGGAAACAACAGGTGAAGTTTCAGTTTTGTATGTTGGGAAAATAGCATCGGGTGCATTGTGGAACATCCTTTTTGAGATTCATGTGCCAATTCCTATGAGAAGACATGGAGTTTTTCCACATACATCACTTCAGAACTGTAATAACAAGTCACAACTTCAGTGCATGACTGGCCCATCACAGACAGAGCTTCTGTACAACCTGCACACAACGTTTTTCAATGAAGAAAGTTCATATATTTCACTGCTAGACAGGGAATCAGCTGCAGGGGTCAAGTGGTGCACATACATTTTCAAACCACCCTACTGTCCAAGAATAATTTTTCATGTATGGGAAATAAAGAAGCAGCAGCAGCAGCAGAGACTGGATTTATACCCCACCCTTCACTACTCGAAGGAGTCTCAGAGCGGCTTACAAACTCCTTCCCCTCCCCCTCCCCTCAAAAGACATCCTGTGAGGTAGGTGGGGCTGAGAGAGCTCTGACAGAAACTGCTCTTGATAGAACAGCTCTGAGAGAACTTGTGACTGACCCAGCTCACCCAACTGGCTGCATGTGGGGGAGTGGGGAATCAAAACCAGTTCTCTCAGATTAAGGTCCACGCTCCTAACCACTACAACAAACTGGCTCTTAAGGATTAATTAGCAATTAATCATAGAGGGGAAGAGTGTAAGTCGTCTGGGTCCCCATTGTGGAGACCACCCCCATCCCACAAGGAAAACTTTGCTTGCAGAACAGCTTTGTTTGAGAACAATTAACTTTACTCAAAGAATCTCTTCCATGTGAAGAAGTGGTTTCCTAAGACCAGCTGTGGACAGAATTCAGACATGGCTCTGTGCATCCATCCCCAGAAACATTCGCTGAAACAGTCACAGCCCACACAAGAGTCTGGTACATCAAAAGCCAAAAATATGTGAGGTTCTTGCACTACAATGCCTTCTCTGTGCTATCAGTCAGCTCAATCTATCACCATCTAAAAAAGCCTAAAAATGTTTGCAGAGATTTGCCATAAACACTTTATTAGAAATAAAGTAAATTAGCACGCTATCACTACAAAATGTTCTTTAATTTGTCATGAATTCCATAAATTTAATCAAAATGCAACAGCCGATGCATCTGAATTTGTGTAGTCCAAGTCACTCAGTCTTTTTTAATTATTTTTCTTTTGGGTTTTTTTTCCATATGTTAATGATATCTTTTGTCTCCTTACTTTACATAACTCGTTAAATTCCCCCCTCCCTCCCTCTACCCCTTAGTTATTGGTCCTTTATTCCCAGCCACGGGCACAAAGTCTGAATCTTCCACCGAATGTCCTGTCTTCCTTCCAATATTATCCACTTTAGATAGGTCTTCCATCTATTTTTGATTTCTTCGGCTTTATCCTCCCATGTGGTCTTCTGGCGTAATTTCTCAATGACGTCAGACTGTACAAAATCAAACAGATAAGTGTGCCAGGTATCTACTGTCCATTTGCTCTTATCTTTCCAGCCCATAGCTATCACTGCCTTGCCTGCTAACACCATAGCTTTAAGTATAGCCTGGGCTTCCTTGTTAACTGCCTTGTTTCCTAATATACCCATTAACATTAGTTTGAAGTCTACATTCAGTGAAATTTTGCATATTTTCTTTATAATTTGTATTATTTTTAACCAAAAAACTCTAACCTCTGGACATTCCCACCACATATGGGAGAACCAACCCTTAAATTGTTTACAGTGCCAACACATAGGACTCAATCCCGGGAACATATTTGCTATCTGCGCTGGTGTTTTATACCACTTTGTGAAAAAAATATGTTCCAATTCATTGAACTTAATAATTTTGGTTTCTTCTATTCCCTTCATTATTTTATTTACCTCATTTTCTGATATCTGACCTTCTTTACTCCATGTTTTCTGTAAATATATTATCGCCTTCTCTTTGTTGGGTAACATTTTCTTGTAAATATATCCTGCTATTCCTTGTTTAGATTTTTGCATTCTATTATATATTTCTTCAATTGGTTCTTCTATCCAAATGTTTCCTTTCTCATTAACTTCTTTGATCATTCTATAAAGGCCTGTGGTTTTTAACCAATATTGCCTACCTACCTCCTCAGTTAATTCCTGTGCTGGTTTTAGAGTACCTCCTCTGAATAAGTCTCTTAACCTATAATAACCCTTTAATCTCAATGTTTCGCACCATTTATTTTCTCCTGTGTCATTATACAAGGACTTTAGCGGTGCCCACTTTGAGATTCTTTTGAGCCATAAGGGCTGCCACTTGTTCCAAACTGTTAGTGTTGAATAGCTATGTTCCTTAGCTTGTTTAAGATCTTTGTTTGTCATTTTGGAGAAAACCCCGTAACTCCCTATGTTATTGTTAATTTCATTCTCGAAACTCACCCATTTTAGTCTCTCTCCATCACCTATCTCCAGTATCGATTTTATTTGGAAGGCTTCATAATAGCTCTTCAAGTCCGGGACTCCGCATCCCATCTCTGATCTATGGCTATAAATTATCTTTTTCTGTATTCTGCATTTTTACTACCGAAAATCCATTCCCTAATCACTCTATTCCATTGATCCAGCTTTTTGGTATATCTTCCTGGCGGGATTGTCTGGAAGAGATATATTAACCTAGGCAGCCAAAACATTTTAACGCTTTTGATTCTAGTGGATATAATCATTATTTTATTTTTCCACTTTTTCATATCTTTTTCTATTTTCTTCCAGACCGTGTTATAGTTCTTCACTGATATCAATATTCCTCTGTATTACAATACCCAAATACCTAAATTTTCTGGTGCCCATTCCGATGTTAGTGATCCCATGTATTTGTTTCCTTTCCTCTTTTGTCACATTGAGGTACATAATTTCTGATTTAGCCATGTTCACCTTCAGTCCTGAACATTTTTCGAAGTCCTCTAATATAACTTTTATTTCTTTTATTGCCTCTTTGAGGTTTGTCATAGCGATTATAATGTCATCAGCAAATAAATTGATTTTCATTTCTTCCTTCCTTACTCTGTATCCTTCCACCCTTTGGCTAACTGCTCTATTGCTAATATTAATAGGAAAGGCGATAGCGGGCATCCTTACCGGACTCTTCTTTGTATCCGGAGGGGTTGTGAATGATCTTCATTGACTCTCACCACTGCTGTCCCTTCTCTGTATATTTCTTGGATCGCTCTTATGTATGGTTCCCCCATCTCATGTTTAGTCATTACCTGCCACAGATACTCCTGGGAGAGTGTATCGAATGCTTTGTAAACATCTAGTTTCAAGAGGCCTAACTTTTTTTGGTGGCCATGTTGTAATACATTTATAATATTCCTTATGGGTGTTGAATCTCCCAAGACTCTAAAAAAAATCCACGTTTAAAGGTTAAAGCAAAAT